GACAGATGATTAATTGACCATACAGTACCGTTTCCAGGTTAGGACAAATGTATTTATTTCCGCGATTTTAGTCATTCTTACATATCAATTGAACGCGGAGGCAACCAAAGTGGTTAACAGCCTGAGGTTGCAAACAGTAAGGGCAGATTTCAACACTTGATTTTGATCATAATACGGAGTAAACAGAGCAGCGGAAGAAAACAAAGTAGCAGTGATTACTACCAGAAAACAGCAGTGTAGGGGGGGGGGGGAGGAAAGACTATAGTCCAGGGGTGTCAAACATGCAGCCTGGGCACCAGATCAGGCCCCCGGACGGGGCTTCTATCAGGCCCGCGGTGGAACTGGCTGTCTTTTGCTTCTTCTTCCAGTTCTGCTGCTGCTGCTGCGTCATCATAGGTTTGCCGCTTCCAGATACACACCTGAACGGCACACTTGAGATTGCAACAGCACAGACATTTTAATTGCAATAATTCAGAGCAAGAGGTGTCAGTTATCAGACGCTGTTAAATAAACAAAATATTGCAAGAGTGCTAATGTTTTAAACATGTTTTTATTTTAAATTTAAAAAAAACTCTTTGTGTCCTTTATAAAGTTTATATCTCTGCTACCTGGCATTACATTTCATGACACACGTGGCCCGGCCCAAAAAGGTCTCATTTATGTCAGGTCCGGCCCTCGTAACAAATGAGTTTGACACCCCTGCTATAGTCCGACATGTTTGGGGGCTAATTCTAAAGGGCTGAAAAGGCTCTCCCTGGCCCGAGGGACGTCCGTTTAGCCTCGACCAGGACCAGGGCTTTCTCTGCCCTGCGCCCCCCCTCCCCCACCGCGTGGTGGAATGTGCTCACGCATGAACACAGGGCCCTACAGGACCTTCTACAGTTCTGCAGGGCCTGTAAAATGGAGCTGTTCCGCCAAGCCTCTACTTGAGGCAGTGGGCATCCAGTAAAATAGTCAGCCTCCCCTGCTGAAGACTATACGGCCCAGATTAAACAGATTTAGAGTCCGGCGGCACCAGTAGAAGAGACTGTGCAATATTTGGTGCACCCTGTTTTTAAATTCCTTGTTTTAATGATGAAGAAGAAGAAGAAGAGGAGGAGGAGGAGGAGGAGGGGGAAGAGGAAGAGGAGGAAGTGGAGGAGGAAGTGGAAGAGACTGGATTTATACCCCGCCCTTCACTACCCAAAGGAGTCTCAAAGCGGCTTACAATCGCCTTCCCCTTCCCCTCCCCACAACAGACGCCCTGTGAGGCAGGCGGGGCTGAGAGAGCTCTTGACAGAAACTGCTCTTTTTCAAGGACAGCTCTTATCAGAACTACGGCTTGCCCAAGGTCATCCAGCCAGGTGTGAGTGGAGGAGTGGGGAATCAAACCCGGTTCTCCCAGATTAGAAGAAGAAGAAGAAGAAGAGATTGGATTTATACCCCGCCCAAAGGAGTCTCAGAGCAACGTACAAACTCCTTCCCCTTCCTCTCCCCACAACAGACACCCTGTGAGGTAGGTGGGGCTGAGAGAGCTCTTGACAGAAACGGCTCTTTTTTCAAGAACAGCTCTGACCAGAACTACAGCTTGCCCAAGGTCATCCAGCCAGGTGCGAGTGGAGGAGTGGGGGAATCGAACCCGGTTCTCCCAGATCAGAGTCCGCGCACTTAACCACCGCACCAAACTGGCTCTATGAACTACCCTGTTTTCCCGAAAATAAGACCTACCCCAAAAATAAGCCCTAGCAGGATTTATATGCATTTGTGGTATAAGCCCTAGTGTGTCTTCTTGAGAAAAAAATAAATATAAGACAGTGTCTTATTTTCGAGGAAACACGGTATTTATTATTGTGATGCCAAAGGCCTAATTATTTGTTGTGATCCACCCTGAGCCCGTTTGCGGGGAGCTCAGAATATAAATTTGAAAAATAAAGTGAGGAATTGTTATACATCCTACAATAATATCTATGCATTTATTTATTAAAGTATTCTTTATACCCCAAACCAGGGGGCCCCAACCTTTCTGAGCCGGGGGGCACCCTTGGAATTCTGACAGCACCATGGCTGCCACAAAATCGCTGCCACAGGGGGCCCCGCCCACTCTCTAGAAACACGTGGCGGGCTCCAGCAAAGGTGTCTCAGGGCTTCATAAGTACCGACAGGAACCCCTGCTCTAAATAAAGAGTTCCTAAGACTGCTAGTACAGAAGTACTTATTTTTGCATTTATCCCACTTCGTCCCTGAAGACGAAGATTGACTTTAATCGTTACCTCGTCTTCAAGACGTTAAAAATATCCCACCCACCTCAAGCCAAGAAAAAATGTCACGATCAGTCATGGCTTTAATTTTGGCCTCGTTGGCGAGCTCGTCCATCATGCAGTCCATCAGGTTCATTAACGATCGGACCAGATTTGTGTCTGAAGTAGGAGACAGTTCCTGGAACGACAAAAGACTTCCCTGGATCTCCCTCGATCTCTCGATTCTTCTCTTAATATTTACTCAGAATACAAACAGGATCTGCAGTAAGGCTAAGAGTTCACTGCAATAATTGGCTTTGCAGGCCTATGCTTGATGAAGGTCAAAAGGAAGTCCTTCTTCACCCAAAGGGTGATTAACCCATGGAATTCACTGCCACAGGAAGTGGTGGCGGCTACAAGCATGGATGGCTTCAAGAGGGAACTGGATATGGAGCAGAGCTATTAGTCACAAGGTATAGATAGGAATTTTCGGTCTGGGGCAAGTGATGGATTTTATTCTTTGGTCCAGGTTGGGGGGGGGGGACAACAGTGGGAGGGCTTCTAATGTCCTGGCCCCACTACTGGACCTCCTGATAGCACCTGGTCTTTTTGGCCCCTGTGTGAAAGTGTGTTGGACTGGATGAGCCATTGGCCTGATCCAACACTGGCTTCTCTTATGTTCTTATATGGAGCAGAGGTCCATCAGTGGCTATGAGCCACAAGGTATAGATAGGAACTCTCAGTCTGGGGCAAGTGATGCTCTGTATTCTTGGTGCTTGGGGGGGGGGCAACAGTGGGAGGGCTCCTAGTGTCCTGGCCCCACTGCTGGACCTCCTGATGGCACCTGGCATTTTTGGCCATTGTGTGATACAGAGTGTTGGACTGGATGGGCCATTGGCCTGATCCAACATTGACTTCTCTTATGTTCTTATGTAAGGACTGAGCTGTAGAATTGTAGGAAGGGATAAGGCTCAAATCTTGATCCATCAGCACAGAAAGGACCATCAGTAACTGATCAGCTCTCAGAACAAGGACTTGTGCCTTTGTATAGAACAAGGATTTGTACAGAACAAGGATTTGATTTGTATAGCCGAGAAATACAATTATCATTCCCACAATCTCTCTCTTTACCTTACCTTTGTACATTTTCTAACAAACTCAACGGAAAGTGGAACCATTCTGTCAAACAAGGTAGTTATAAAATCCTTATGCATATCCATGATGGTGGCCGGCATCCGATTTAACCAAGAGAGCATCACGGGTCTCCAGCCCAACATCTGGGGTTCCATGTAGACCATGCCACATCTGGAAACCTGAAAAAAAAGGGTACATTTCCACATATTCGGATCCCAGTAATGTAATTTGCCACTTTTAAGGTGCTGAAAACAAGAGTATTCATATCCTATACGGGTATGGATGTTGCCTTTGGCTGTCACCAAAATAACACAGCTCAGCCAGCAGCCGCAGACACCTACTAACTGAATGCCAATGTTGCCATACGACTTGTGACAGCAGACTTACATTTTAGATCTGACCCGGAGAGGGAAACTGCTTGACACTTCTGTAAGTCACATGTCATCCTGTTAGCTACAAACTGAAGGAAACCCACACATGAAGCTTCCTTATACTGATTCAGACCATCGTTCCATAAGGTCAGTATTGTCTACTCAGACCAGCAGCAAGGTCTCAAGCAGAGATCTTTCACCTCCCTTTCTGCCTAGCCCTTTTAACTGGAGATGCTGCCGGGAATTGAACCTGGGACCTTCTACAGCTCTTCTGCTGAGCCACGGCCCCTGAGCCACGGGGTAGATTAGGACATTAAACGTCTCTGGAGAGCCAGTATGGTATGCTAGACTGTCAGACTAGGATCCCAGTTGGGAAACTTCACTCCGCCATGGAAGCCTGCTGGGTGAATTTGGGCCAGTCACACCTGCTCAGCCTGACCTACCTCACAGGGCTGTTGTGAGAATAAAATGGAGGAGAGGGGAATGATGTTAAGTTACTGTGGGTCCCCAATGGGGAAGAAACTGGGGCATAAATGACGCAAAGCAATGGTTAAGTGAATGGCCCTGTAGAGATGCAAGTGGCACGGCCTCTGCTTGACTCAGACCTGGGCTGCTGCGAGGAGGACCACAGGTGTGCGCTCCACTGCCGTTGTCATCATTACAGGGGCTCAGCTGTGCATTAGGTATGGCTAGCTCGGGGCCCTCTAGGAGAGCAAGCCCACCTGGAGGTTTCCTAGTATTTTAAAGAGGTAGTTTACCCCCGTGCAGGGGACATAGCTATGTCTGATTTATTCTGTAGTAGCAGAAGGAGAAGGAGGAAAAGGAGAAGGAGGAGAAGGAGGAGGAGAAGGAGAAGGAGAAGAAGGAGGAGGAGGAGGATTGGATTTATACCCCGCCCTTCACTACCCGAAGGTGTCTCAGAGCGGCATACAAACGCCTTTCCCTTCCCCTCCCCACAACAGACACCCTGTGAGGTAGGTGGGGCTGAGAGAACTCTTTCCAGGACTGTCCTTGAGAGAACAGCTCTGAGGCATTTGTGACTGACCCAAGGTCACACCAGCAGCTGCAAGTGGAGGAGTGGGGGATCAAACCCGGTTCTCCCAGATTAGCGTCCACGCTCTTAACCACTACGCCAAGCTGGCCCTGGCCTGCATGAAGACAGGTTAGCCTGATCTCGTCAGATCTCGGAAGCTAAGCAGGGTCGGCCCTGGCTGGTATTTGGATGGGAAGACCAGGGTCGAGACGCAGAGGCAGGCGATGGCAAAACACCTCTGAATGCCCCTTGTCTTGAAAACCCTACGGGGCTCGCCATCAGTCAGCTGTGACTTGACGAAACTTCCCGCTGCCGGCGACACAAAGCGCTCAGTTTCTACTTTGTGGTTTTGATCCTTTAGTTCAGTAAACTACTGAAAAATTAGGACAATTGCGGGGGGGGGGTGGGGGGGGGAGCCTGCAGATGTACAAATGCTACATTTAGCTTCCACCTTATCCAAAATCAAGCTTTGCAGACAGAGAATGCGTGCCTCACTTTTTCAAAAACAGCCAGATAACAGATTAAAGGAATGTCAGGCTCTATAAACAGCACTGCGGCAGATACTGTTAATAACAACCAAAGAAAGAGAGCTCTTTAAAGCCAGCGGGGATCCGAATGAGAAAACAGGGAGCTGGTCTGGGAAAACAGCTTTAATGAAGGGCCAGACGACACTCGATGCGGCAGTTCTTTGAACTCTGGGTTTGTAAAGAGGACTCGACACATGGCCACTGGGATTGGGGGGGGGGGAGATGAACCAGGGCCATGGCACTGAAGAAGGGAGGGTTTAATTCTTCCCATATCTCTCTCTCTCTCTCTCTCTCACACACACACACACACACACACAGAGTTTCCCCCTCCCCATCAAGAAGAAGAAGAGATTGGATTTACACCCTGCCCTTCACTCGGAGTCTCAGAGCGGCGTACGAACTCCTTTTCCCTTCCCCTCCCCACAACAGACACCCTGTGAGGTTGGCGGGGCTGAGAAAGCTCTTTCAAGGACTGCCCTTGAGAGAACAGCTCTGAGAGAACTTGTGACTGATTCAAGGCCACCCAGCTGTCTGCACATGGAGGAGTGAGGAATCAAACCCGGTTCTCCCAGATTAGAGTCCGCACACTTAACCACGACACCCAACTGGCTCTCATCAAAAATGTTCCCCTAGGCTGCATTAAGCTCGAGGAGGAAATAAGAGGAGGCACAGAGGGGAAGGGGCTGTGGCTGTAGAGAGCCAATTTGCTGTAGTGGTTAAGTGCGTGGCCTCTAATCTGGGAGAACCGGGTTTGATTCCCCACTCCTCCACTTGCAGCTGCTGGGTGACCTTGGATCAGTCACAAGTTCTCTCAGAGCTGTTCTTGAAAAAGAGCAGCTTCTGGCAGAGCTCTGTCAGCCCCACCTACCTCACAGGGTTTCTGGTTGTAAGCCGCTCTGAGACTCCTTTGGGTAGTGAAGGGCGGGGTATAGACCCAATCTCTTCTCCTTCTTCTCAGTGGAAGAGCCTCTGCTTGGCATGCAGACGGCCCCAGGTTCAAGCCCCATCGCCTCCAACTAAAAGGACCAAGCAAGGGGTGATGGAAAAACCTCCGCCTGAGACCCTGGAGAGCTGCTGTCGGTCTGAGTAGACAAGACTGACCCTGATGGCCCAAGGGGTCTGATTCAGTAGGAGGCAGTTTCATCTGTGCCTTCCTTTGGGCGGGGAGGGCCTGTGGCTCAGTGGAAGAGCCCCTGCTTTGCATGCAGGCGATCCCAGGTTCAATCCCCGGCCTCTCCGTTTTAAAAGATAAGGTAGTAGGTGATGGGAAAGACCTCCCGCCTGAGACTCTGGAGAGCTGCTGCCGGTCTGTGTACACAATACTGACCTTGGTGGACCGAGGACCTGATTCGATGTGAGGCCGCTTCAAGTGTCCGTGCCTCCATAGTCACATGCCTTTCAATACAGCCTCCCACTCAGGCATACTCACGGTTGCAGGGGAAGCGACTTCTAAATCCATGGGCTCAAAAATGAGGCTCATCTGCGGGGACATCTGTATGATCTCTCCACTCATCAGGCAGAGCTTCTTGTTGTCGTCCAGCACCGTGTTCATGTTCTCGATCCACACCGCGTCCACCGGCCCGTCGAAGATGAGCCACTTCCTGTCAGGTGACTGCAACGGAAATAGGAAGACCGGACATGGAGGACGTGAGGACTCCGGCCCCCCCCCCCCCCCGAGTCAGGCCAGCCTAGTACTCGTCTCCAGATAACAATACAGGGGTTGCAGTATCAAAACCTAATGACAACAGAAATACTAAAATTGTGCATACATATATTCATAAATTCTTTATAATCCTATAAGCATACTAAATTCCGTTATAAATTCAGTATAACATTAATTTAATGTTTTTACAGATTAATAACAAATGATGAAACGATGGACGAAACTCTCCGGAATATCTTCCGTTTCGTGAGCCTTCTTCTTACGTCAATCAACCTATTAAATATATTTTACAGTCAATGTAAAGAGAACTTGTAACTGACCCAAGGTCTCACTAGCAGCTGCATGTGGAGGAGTGGGGAATGAAACCTGGTTTTCCCAGATTAGAGTCCACGCGCCTAACCACTACACCAGACTGGCTCCTATATATTTTAATCTTAGTGACTACTTACGGGTGAAGAGGCAAATGCTCTAAAGCTGACTGCTAGGATACCATCAGACCACTCATGGGAGACGGGATCAAACTGTCCATACAGCTGACCCATGGTGACGGCCTTGGGGTTGATAACAGTAATCTGGACTTTGTTTTCCTCCATTAGTCCCTAAGGAAACAAAACAAATTGAATGTCATCCATCTACAGTACACTAAATTCTTCAGGAATTATTCATAACAGTAGCCATTACAAAAGGATAACAGACCAGAAGAACAGCTGGAGGGCAGATAAGGCCACATGATCTTGGAACAAATATGTAACAACCGCCTAAAAGGACTTACAGCAACAAGATCAAGTTCTCTTACAAAGGGATTTCAAAGGGTATTAGGGAGACGGCTGAATTGCAACCGATAACGAAGCTCAAGGCAATGCATCCTCCTGGACTGAATCGAGACCTAGGTTTCCTGTCTCATCACCAAGGCTGATTTCTCCACACTTACTACCCCTCTGCATATCGCGCCTAATCCAATCATGCCTCCTATTGTCATTCGCCTCCTATTGTCATTCGGCATTTGAAATCACTCCAGTCTCCAAGATTCTAAGGACAGGTGGACTCACGTTCTAGCCATGTTTGAAGAAGTGAGGAGTGACTCACGGGAGCTCATCCCCTGCCACAAATCTTGCTAGTAGTTAAGGTTCTACTGGACTCTTGCTCTTTTCTACTGTACAACAATAATTCACGTATAGCTCAAGCAAAATTTACAGCAGGGATACAAATGACAACCCTCTAGGTGAGGATCAAAACATCTTGTTACAGCTTTGTGGCTATCAAAGCAAGGCTCCCACTTCGAAGACTCCCCCTGCTTTCAGTTGCCAAAAGAATTCTATTTTGTGTTGGTACGAGAACAGCATTTGTGAATTTTTAAATCGCTGAGAGACAAAGGTCTTCTGTGCTTATTGGAGGACAACACAGTGCAACTTAATAGGATCCGTCTTCAACAGCCACATCACTACAAAAGCATGAACTAAAGATGTGTTCCTGCACCATTTCCCTAAAGGGTGGAGGGTATTTGTAACAGTGGGGTGTACTGGTTAGGATGAGGCTAGAGCCAGCAAGAGATCTCTACTCTGCCATGAAGCTTACTGAGTGGTCTTGCGCCAGCTGTTGTTAGGCATTCAGTAGTGTCCAACTGTTGGCGATTCTATGGGCCAGCTCTGTCTACGGCAGGGGTCCTCAAACTACGGCCCGTGGGCCACATGCGGCCCACCGAAAACATTTATCCGGCCCGCCGGGTGTTTTTGCCGCCGCCGCCTGTCCTGCTTAGCAGCCGACTCATCCTGGGCCCGCAGTGCGCATGTGTGGAATGTGCACCACATTCAGGGCCCGAGTCAATCAGGGCTCAAGTCAATCAGCACATGATGTGGTCCTCTTCTCAGTTCCGCGCCGCGTGGCTTTGTGGGGGGGCGGGATGGCCGGCTAGTTCCGCCCCCCGGCCCCCACCCCACCCCCGGCCCCCACCCCCGGCCCTCCAATGGTCTGAGGGACAGTGAACTGGCCCCCTGTTTAAAAAGTTTGAGGACCCCTGGTCTACGGTTTCTGATCTTGTGGCTCAAGTGGTCAAGACGCTGAACTGCAGGCTGTGGAAGGTCGTTCGTTCAGCAGTTCAAGACCTGAGTGCCGCATGACGGAGTGAGCTCCCGTCTCTAGTTCCAGCTCCTGCCAGCCTAGCAGTTCGAAAGCAAGAAATTGCAAGTAGATAAATAGGTACTACTTCGGTGGGAAGGTAACAGCGTTCCGTGCGCCTTGGTGTTTAGTCAGGCTGGCCACATTACCACGGAAACGTCTTCGGACAGCGCTGGCTCTTCGGCTTGGAAACGGAGATGAGCACCGCAACCCTAGAGTCGGATTCGACTGGCTTTCGAGCAAGGGAACCTTTACCTTTTTAACTGTTGTAATGATCCTGGATTGAGCAGGGGATTGGACTAGATGGCCTGTATGGCCCCTTCCAATTCTGTGATTCTATGTTTCTTTGAGTCGTTCCATGCTCAGGCTGGTGCTGACTTTTATGGTGCCAAAGCCACCGTGTTCTTTGGCGTCCCGGTTTCCTTTTGCCGCTAACCAATCCGAGCACAATTGCTTTTTTCTAGTGAGTCCCTCTACATGACATGGCCGAAATAAATCAGTCGCAGTTTTGTGATCTTTCCTTCCAGTGGCTGGTATGGTTTTAGGTCGCTTTTGCTGTCCGAGGAATGCGCAGGAGCCTTCTCCAGCACCGCAGCTCAAAGGAGTCGATTTTCCTCCCGTCTTGCTTCTTCACGGTCCAACTTTCACAGCCATTGGTTGCTATGGGGGACACAACAACACGGACTAATCTGCATTTGGTTGCTAGGCTGGTGTCCCTGCTCTTCCGTATTCGATCCATGCTCATCCTTGCTGCGCGACCCAGCGTGATTCAGCGTTTTATTTCTGGACTGCATTTGCCATTTCAGTTGATCTGTGATCTGTGATCTAAGAAAGTGAATTTTCCAACACATTTCCATCTCTTCACTGCCTCTCAACTGGAACTATCTCACGGGGTTGTTGTGAAGATGAAATTGTGAGGGGGAAGGGGAGATATAGCATGCTGCTGACAGGGTCAAAAATAAAACAAAGTTCTCGTTTTGATTCCCAGTCTCCTGTCAGACTCTGTCTCTAGTTTGCCATGAATGTCTGGGGGGTGGGAGATTCCTGCTCTGTGTGTGTGTGAATGTTGGAGTGTGTGAACCCCGGGGAGTTGTAGAAGCTGTAACTCTTTCTCCAAGATACCTCCCCGAATGCCAGGGACAACCTTGAAGTCAAAGCTGTGCTTTTCTTGCTTTCATAGATAAGGGAACCATATATATTCCCAGGGGTTAGAAGCACGAAATTTAGGTGGGAGGTTGGCAGTGTGTGATTGGTGCACTTCGAACCGTGTGAACCTCAGTTCTGACACAGTACTGTTCCACCTGGACCATGCAGATATCTAAATAGACAAATCACTGCCAAAGAGAGGGTTGTTGAGAGTCTCTTGACCAGGGGTCTGACATTCCCCCCCCCCATCATCTCAAAATTCCCATGAGAAGGGAGAAGATGGTAACTCAGCTGCCATGCTTAACACTGGTGTTTTGCCAGGACTTCCTATATAGAAAACTATTTCCTAGGGAACACTTCTCTGCTAGGGTCATGATACAAGCTGCTTGGGTGGACACTGCCAGCGATCAAATCTTGACAAGCAAGGCAGGTTATCTGATGGGGGGGGGGACACAGCCCAGGGGGAAAAACCCGAGACGGGGCCTAAAGACAGGAGGAGCTGTGCTCAGTTGACAGGAACGCCTCTACCTCAGGAAGAGAAGCAGCTTTGATAAATATAAAACAAATTACTGGAATCAATCATTTTGATCATGGGCTGTAGGTTTCTGCTCATTCATTGGCGGTCACATCGATCTACATTTAATAATTCAGTAACAATGCAACTTGTTAAAAAACTCAATATTACCTAAGGCTGCAGTCATAGAATCACAGAATCACAGAGTCTGAAGGGGGCCTAGAGGCCACCTAGTCCAACCCCCTCAATGCAGGATCAGCCTAGAGCATCCCTGACCGGGCTTTGTCCAGCCGCTGCTTGAAGACTGCCAGGGAGGGGGAGATCACCACCTCCCGAGGCAGCTGATTCCACCGTTGCACAACTTTTATTGTAAAAAAGTTTTTCCTAAGATCCAGCTGGTACCTTCCCACCCTTAATTCAAACCCATTTTTGTGAGTCCTTCTCCTCTGCTGCCAACAGGAACAGCTCCCTGCCCTCCTCTAAGTGACAGCCCTCCAAATACTTAAAGAGAGCAATCATGCCCCCGCTCAACCTCCTCTTCTCCAGACTAAACGTTCCCAAGTCCCTCAGCATTTCCTCATAGGGCTTGGTCTCCAGGCCCCCGATCATCCTCATCACTAGTGTTCCCTCTAAGCTGAGTCAGTGTGAGATAGCTGAGGTTTTTTAGCCTCCGGCTCACACAGTTTTGTCTTCTCTCAGGAAGGAGGGCTCCAGAGCAAACTAATTTATGCAGCAGCCAAATCGCTCACTCACAACTTTCATGCCAGTAGCTCACAAAGTAGAATGTTTGCTCACAGGATTCCACAGCTTAGAGGGAGCATTGCTCATCACTCTCCTCTGCACCCGCTCCACTCTGTCCACGTCCTTCTTGAAGTGAGGCCCCCAGAACTGCACATAATACTCCAGGTGCGGCCTGACCAATGCAGTGTACAGCGGGACTATGACATCTTGCGATTTGGATGTTATGTCCTCAACAAATTATGGAATGCAGATCACCAAAGTCACTGACATTTATTTCTAAATATAGACGCTTCAATTTTTTTGTGTGTGTGCTTGTTTTTCAGCCCTGCCATGTATCTGAAGAAGTGAGCCGTAACTCAGAAAAGCTCATCCCCTGTCACAAATGTTGTTAGTCTTTAAGGTGCTACTGGACTCTTCCTCTCTGCTAGACCTGCAATGGTTTGGGGTTGGTTTTTTTTGCAGATATTTACTTTTTCACACAAGTCACCCAAGGCAGCCGCCAGAACCCGGTACGCGGACGTCTTCCCGCCGAAGGGCTCTCCCACGATCATAAAGCCGTGCCGCACAATCATCATCTCGAATATCTGTAAGATTTTCTCAGCAAAGAAATTGGTCATTTGCAAATTCATGGACTTGCAGTAGATCTTGATCGATTCCAGGATGTCGTTGTAATCTGGTTTCGGCAGCTTCACGCCAGGAAACAAATCTGAAGTAATGCCCTGCCAGAGAAGAAATTACAAGATGTTTTATGATTTATTTATTTATTTATTTATTATTTGTATTTATACCCCGCCCTCCCCGGAGGCTCAGGGCGGCTAACAACATATAATTAATAAAACAGTAAAACAGTAGAAAAAATACAAAATATTAAAATTACATCATAATGTATAACCTATCTAAAACAGATCTAGCTAAAACCAAGATGGCGATCCTCTAACCTGAATGGGCCACGCCTGTATCTTGTACTGCAGACAATGAAAGAAAGAAATGTTGTTCCTAGTCCAGCAGTATAATCATACAGCAGTAAGAAGCACCATCTTCAGACAGGAATATTGACTTTAAAAAGAAGCATTGATTGATGTCTGAACATGTGATCAATGTTCCCTCTAAGCTGTGGAGTCTTGTGAGCAAAAATTCCACTTTGTGAGCCTACTGGCATTAAAGTTGTGAGCGAGCGATTTGCCTGCTGCATCAATTAGCTTGCTCTGGAGCCATCCCTTCCTGAGCGAAGACAAAACTGTGCGAGCTGGAGGCTAAAAAACTGTGAGCTAGCTCACACGAACTCAGCTTAGAGGGAACACTGCATGTGATAGTGAGATGCTAAACCAAAATATACATGAAAAATACCAACGTGCTCATCATTTAGGGAACACTGTCGGACAAACCACCATTTTAAAAATAAAAATCACGCACGTTGTTTTCATTGTGGGTCGGGAGGTGCGATTTACCCTTAAGACAGCAGCTGAGACATGAGGCTCCACAACCAGTGCCTGTTCACCTGCCCTGGTATGTAGTTGTGGCCTTCAAAGTTCATTCCTGATCTGCCCTCTACAGATGAGAACTGGATGTCACACAGGGGTGTGTGTGTGTGTGTGTGTGTGTGTGTGTGTGTGTGTGTGTGTGTGTGCGCACGCGCTTTGGTGGGCAAAGACTGCAGAGGAAGGGGCTGTGGCTCAGTGCTAGAGCAGGGGTCCCCGGCCTTTTTGAACCTGTGGCCACCTTTGAAACACTGACACGGGGTGGTGGGCGCAGCCACAAAATGGCTGCTGGAGGAGGCGGTAAAGGTTTCCCTTGCTCAAAAGCTAATCGTATCTGACTCTAGGGGGCGGTGCTCATCTCCGTTTCCAAGCCAAAGGGCCAGCGCTGTCCGAAGACTTCTCCGTGGTCATGTGGCCAGCATGACTAGACGCCTTCCCACCGAAGCGGTACCTATTTATCTACTTGCAGTTTCTTGCTTTCAAACTGCTAGGTTGGCAGGAGCTGGGGCCAGAGATGGGAGCTCACTCCGTTGCGCGGCACTCGGGTCTCGAACTGCCGAACTACCGACCTTCCGGTCTGCAGCTCAGCGTCTTAACCTCTGAGCCACCGCAGATCCCTCCCCAAAAAGGTTGCTGCGGCTTATCTTCAGTCGCACAGTGAAGATCCTTGTGCTGCCGCCAAAGCAACATTTTTGAAAATAAAGATCTGCACAGCCAATCGGAAGCCTTGCTGGGCAAAAGCCCACCTGGCCTCAACCGTTTTCAAAAAACACTTGGCGGGTGCCACAAAAAGGTGTCAGCAGATATCGTGGTGCCTGGGGGAGACTCCCTGTGGTGCAGAAACTGTTTGGCATGCAGAAGGTCCCAGGTTTAATCCCAGGCCTCTGACTGGTGACACCCTGTGACTTACCACCCATGACTCAACTCATGTCACACATAATGTGTATTTTGGCCCAGAGTATTCATAAATCAACCACAAAAACATAAGAGAGTCCTGTGATTCAAGAGGAACAACATTACTAGACATAGACCCCACTTCATCAGGTACATAAAGTAGTCTTTTGTCTACAAAACCTGAGGCTATAATACATCCGTTAATTTTTAAGGTGCTGCCGGACTTCTTTTCGGGTTTTGCTGCAGTAAATCAGCACAGTCATTCCACTGGAATTTGGATCTATGACACTAGAAATCCCCATAACATTGCACCCACAGAGGAACCTTGTTAATACGTAGATTAAAACAAGGTTGCACTTACCTGTAACTGTTGTTCATCGAGTGGTCTTCTGTGCAGGCACACATGTGTGCCTGCACAGAAGCCACGATGACGAACTCTATGAATCATTTCACTGTCGCAGGAAGTGGTGGCGGCTGCAAGTACAGATGGGGTGGGGTGGGGACTGGATAAACATAGGGAGCAGAGGTCCATCAGTGGTAATCAGCCACAAGGTATAGATGGGACACTCTGTCTGGGGCAAGGGATGCTCTGTCTTCTTGGTGCTTGGGGGGGGGTCAACAGTGGGAGGGCTTCTAATGTCCTGACCCCACTGCTGGACCTCCTGATGGCACCTGGTATTTCTGGCCACTGTGTGACACAGAATGTTGGACTGGATGGGCCATTGGCCTGATCCAACATTGGCTTCTCTTATGTTCTTATGTTAGGTATAGATAGGAACTCTCAGTCAGGGGCAAGGGATGCTCTGTATTCTTGGTGCTGGGGGGGCAGCAACAGTGGAAGGGCTCCTAGTGGCCTGGCCCCACTGGTGGACCTCCTGATGGCCCCTGGTATTTTTGGCCACTGTGTGTGACACAGAGGGGTGGTCTGGATGTGCCATCGGCACATGGCTTCTCTTATGTTCTTAAGACTTCCGTTACACTGATGGAGCCCCTTACCTCAAAAAGTGGCAGATCATGGGATAAGAACTTAGGCAAATTGACATCTATGATGGATCTGAGCAGCAAAATTTCTTCATTTTCTTCAGGGTATTTCAGCTGCAAGAAAGGAGGAAATTAATTTCAGATGTATAAATGTGTTTTAGATCACAAAGTCAACGGCTAAGATTCTACATATTCCCACTGTTTTCTTTATATGTGCCTGCCTTGAGTCTTCAGGTTAATGGTGCCTGTTCCAGATGAAGGTTGTTGTGTTCAGGAAGTTTTCGTACCATAAAAGTCTGATGTTATGACAGGACTAATACAAGTCCATATTTTAAAATCTAAGGGAAGTGTTAACATATTCTGGCTTTAAACTCTTCTTTATGCTGGAAAAGGAGGAAACTCAATCTAGTTAGGAGAAGCAGGGTAAGGGGTTTTCTCTCAGTTGACATGTCGGAAGATTGATACCTCTCATTGTCTGAAAGTAACCTGATTACTTTCCTTTTTCTCCAGCAGTTCTTCCTTCCTAGCTTTGTTCTAGTGAAGTTCATACAGCTTATCTCCATATAACATCACAAGAGTCCCGCTGGATCAGACGAGTGGTCCATCTAGTCCAGCATCCTGTCTCACACAGAGGCCAACCAGTTCCTCTGGAGGTCCAACAGCAGGTCAGAGGGGCTGAGGCCTTCCCCTGATATTGCCTCCTGGCTCTGGGACTCAGAGGGTGATTTCCGACAAGCGCTGCTCCTCGCTCACTCTTCTCTTTGGCCCGATGGTAGGTGTCAATTTCACACAAGCTGCTGCGCAACCGCATTTTGCCCCGCAGCTTCGTGTGATGTGAAATATTTCTCAACCCAAGGCGTTTTCTTTTTTTACTTTTACCCTGCCTCCTGTCTCCATTTAATTTCTTTCTAAGTCGAATGCTGTGAAACAGTCGTGCTTTGTTGCTGTACAGCTAACTTGGCTTTTCGGGCCTTGGACAAGCCACCACCCACCCACCCCCATATTTCCCACAGCACTTTAACTTCTGGTTCTTTGCACTGTATGACACATGATCCTTGGGTTAACACACTGGTACTGAACCCAACTTATACTGAATCAGACCATCGGTCTGTCAAGGCCAGTATTTTCTGTTCAGACTGGCAGTCGCTCTCCTGGGTCTTCACATCACCTACGGCCTAGTCCTTTCTACCCGGTAAATGACAGCATTCAGCAGGGGAGATGACCTTTGCAGAACTCTGCCGGTTTATGGAAATCGAGGGCAAACAAAATCACTGGCCAAAGTTTCTCATGCATTCAGTAACGCCCACGCAGAGACCCCACGCAAGTTGCTTCCCCATTCATTTCTGTGCAGGGGGAAGTTTCACGCGTGCCCTGGAGATGGACCATCGCCTCTGAAGCGAACAGACCGTGAAGAAGTTCGGCATACATTTCAGAGCAATTGTGCTCACCAACAGACACACCATCGGGGCGGCTGAGCATCCGCCTCTATTTTATGGTACTAAAGGCAAGCAAACTTGAATAATAAAAACATTAGGTTGGTTTGTTTGAAGATGGTAATAATAATTATTTATTATCGAATGGTACTGTGTGTAGAATAGCCAGGAGTTCCTAAGATTGTCTGGCATCCAGAAATTCTAGCTCTTTTAGTGTTATGCACCACTAGGTGGCGAGCTAGACTTGCTTTTTAAGGCAAGAGACGTTTCAGAGGCAGAAAGTAGGATAGTAAGGATTCCTTGGGGAGTCAAAATTATATTAATAAACATACAGACCATGTAAGCCAATACCACAGGAACTTCCTAAACACGCATCTGCCAGCCAGTCCCTCTTTTGTGGACTGATATTTAGGTAAACCCCAGAGAGTAAGAGCCAAACTAGATGTTGTGGCAGCCACGGAGGACTTAAGAACATAAGAGAAGCCAAT